GGACCTTCCTTCCCATATGTATGTAAAAAAAATAAACAAATGAGTGCGGGAGCCCGGAAGACATTCTCCTGTCTGTTACTTGACTTGACTTCCGTTTAATTTTGTGTGTGTGTGTGTATTTTTTGTTTATTAAAAAACCTTGCACATTGTGATTCGCTTTAATTCGCTTAGAAAGCAAACATCTCTTCAACTTTATTTGGTTTTCATTTAATATCATTTCCTGTGAGGTGCCTCGCATTACGCACATACGGGGCTGGCGGCTCAATCGTCTGCCAGGTACGGACGGATGAATCTGCATTATTACTGCCGTAGAATAATATCAGGAAAATAAGGGGTGTGTACTTCAAGCAGTACGGGAAGAGTGCGCCTTTGCCTGTGCTGTTTTCCTCGGGTTTCCTTCGCGTGCACTCGAGTGCAGCTCATTTATCACGATGCTTGATGCTCTTCGCTGGCCCCTTTCCGCCCCTTTGCTCCTCTTTCAATGCTGCCATTTTGGCCATTTCCATTCGGCTCTTAGACAGCTCCATTGTCGTTGCCTGCAAAATGATTTCACGAGTGGCAGAGGGAGTGGAAAATATTCGCAACCTGTAGCCTGCTTTAATGAGCCCCCACTACTACTCTACTCTAGTATTTTCTGGCAGCTCTAATTGGTCAATTAGCGGAGGGATGCGGGGAAGCAAGTAGCAACAATTTCTTATGCAATTCAGTCTGCGCTAAAATATCACTAAATATATCCAAGGCAACAGCCTTTCCTGCACGAGTAGTCCTTGAATATAAATATATAAAAAAAATGCGAGCCAAATAAATGTCTGAAAAAAAGCAGCTGCCAAACAGAAGAAAGAAAGAAAGAAAGAGTGAGAAAGAGAGAGCGATATATAAACAGCTAAAGAATATTCATGTGCCTCAATAAACCCCAAAAGAAAAGATGTCCTTTTCGCCCAGTCCTCGTTCCCGTTTCAGTCCCAGTTCTGGAGCATTAAAGTGCTGCCGGGGATGATAAAAGCAGGAAAAAAAACAACAAAAAAATAAAAATAAATATAAGGCACGATACAAACAAAGGAAACGAAACGCGCAAACAGCAAACGTGCATTAAAAATATTGCAAGGGACACACAGCATGAGGAAAGGACTTGTTGTGGTCCCAGAACTGGGACCCACTAGAACGATAGATAGATAGATAGATAGATAGATAGATACAGTGTACAGGGACAATTAAAGTCCAGCTGGGCGAAGGAAAAGAAGGACATTTAAAGACAATGGCCGGATGAATGGCTGGCTGAATGGCAAAATAAATAAAATTGATTAGAAATGGGATGCGAAATCGATGCCAGGCTCCCCATTCAGCAACAGCTCCGCCTCTGGCTCCTTATCTGACGGCCATTTCATTATTTTAATGCAGCAGATGAATCGTAGCACCGCTCAGGCCAACCAACAGCAAAACTTATCCAGAATTGACTGACTGACTGACTGACAGCAGAGTATTGATTGATGGGGGGCTCCGCGCCGCATCCTGTTGGCAGGAGTTGACAGCAGTCTGTGTACAGATATATTCGTAGTATTTATATTTTATTCAACATTTAGCCCTATTTCTCGTTGACATTCTGCAGCAGCAGAAAGTACTGTCCACTTGTCCGAACCATCTGCAAATCAATCACATGAAAATTGGGAAAATCGAAGAAGCGAAGAAAGGGAATCCACTCCACTCCACTCACCGACATCAGGGTAGGCAACGACATGGGCAGGAACCAGGACACGTCCAGCCGAAAGCAGCGATTCGTGCGCATCAGCATCATGCGAATGAGTTGCCGGAACTCACGGGACTCCTCGTACCATTCGCACGCATAGAACGCCCCGGCAATCTGTTCGCTCTGCCCAAAAGCAAAATCAAAAAGCAAAAGCCAAGAGGATTAGTCGTTGGTAGAGCCCAGAAACCGAGGCTCACACACTCACAGCTGTCACAAATCGCTGGCCATTGTAGCAGTAGACGACAATCTGATAGCCGGCGGCCATCAGGTACATGGTCATCCGGATCATGGTGATGCTGCTGCTGTTGCCCTGCAAAGAAAATCGAATATGGAAAACCAAAATCTTTGGCCACAGGAACAACACCGCCCCCCCCACATCATTCATACCAGGCCAACACTCATCTGGAAGAGGGCCAGGCCCCAGCCGAAGAGGCTGAACAGGAATTGGGTGAGCGTTATGTGACGGAAGCAGTCGTTGACCTCCTCTGCAAAACTGTTGGCAAATAGCATTAGGGGGCATACATGCATCAACCGCATGCCACTGCACTCACCTTGCCACCCGCTGGTACTGATAGATGCAGCAGCGCAGGTACTCCACACGACGCTCTGGCGGCACTAGCGGCGACGTGGCGCCGGCAATCATTTCGATGAGGGACTCCATTAGGCCCACACTGTGCAGGCACAGCACAATGAAGATGCCATCGAAGCTAACGGCGCCTGTGGGGCGAGGCATCCACAATTAGTAAATCAGAATGGGGGGAACGACTATGCATGACTTGCATACTCACACATGCCGCAGATGTAGAGGGAGCAGGACTCGAGATACATTTGAATGTGGTAGTAGGGAAAGGCTAGACCCTTGTCCTGCCAGCCCGGATAGAGCGAAGGCAACGCTGCAACAGCCACAATGAATGCTGTGTGGCAAAAGGGGAGAGGGAGATGCTTTTTGTTTTTCTACTCACGCAGAGCAATGTCGAAGCTGCCGGCTGGTCGGGTGAAGTAGCGGTACAGATTGCTGGCGAACGAACTGATAAAATAGTTCGAGGTGAGGGCTATGCAGCTGTACAGATAGATCAAAAGTTGCCGTCGTGTGCTGCCCCAATAATGCTGCATGATGTCCTCCACACGCTGACGTAGAGACTGAGCCACAGGCAGATCTAAATGACGGAATCCAGACTGAAGAGTGGCCAAAACACTGACTACTGGCTCTCACCCGAAATGGCGGCAAAGAGCTCACAGCGTTGCAGCAGCTCGTGGCAGCGGGCCTTCCTTAGCAGCTCGTAGATCCTGCGATGGGCAAACAGAATGTACCACATCTTGGCAATCGAAGTAAGGAACTGCAGGGCAGTGCTGACGGTCTGTCCGGACACAACTGAGTCATTAGTGTGGGTACAGCAGAAAGGAGACTGGAGGACACAAGGTCTCTGAGATCTCACCTCGACTATCTGCGGAATATCCCCGATATAATGCAGGAACATCTGCGAATGGCCGTACAGGGAGGCCAGGCTGCTCAGGCTGAGCACGATGGTCCATCTGGAAAGCTGCTGGAGATTAGCCTGCCACCCACACTCATCCATCATACATACACTCTCAGTGCCCGGTCCCATCGTGTGGGGCTCATCAGGTTGAAGCCGACCGTATAGGAGAGACGGATCATCTCCCTGATGCTGTGAAAGTTGCGCTTCTTCAGCGCAGCGGCCTCTTCCGGCGAGTACATGTCCACTAATTGACTGACAGCTAATTGTCCTAATCGGCCATTTATAACCCTCTGATTAGGCATTAATTATGCATTGGGAGGTGTGACGGTGAGGCGGTGCCCCGCCCCGTTACGTGAGCACAAAGTTGCATTAAATAATTGAAACACTTTTCTTGGGGCTGCTTCATGGGATGTGTCCGCCGAGTAATTAGTATGCCTCATAACGAGATCTACACCCCGTGAAGGCACGCAGGATACGGCAATTGAAACAAATTAAAGTTCAACGGACATTTGGGAACCCCACAACCACTCCCACTCGCAACTCCCACCACAAGTTGGATTTATTTTCACCGAAAGCTTGCAAGCGAGAAGCTTTCCAAAGCTTGTCCTTGGGGTTTTTTCCTTGGTTCTTATGCCTAGACGCTCCACAACACTAGACCAAAGCTTTTGCGTAAACTTAAAATTGAATAATTACATGACCAGTACATGGCCAGAATTTTACATAATAATTCAAGTAGAACTACAGTCGATATTCAACAAAGTATTTACTCTAAAATCTGTTTGGAATATGTATGTCCAAAATAAAGCAGAATTTCCCGCCCAAAAAGACTCTCCATAAGTAAAGAAAACCCAAACGAATATTTAAATGTTTGCTCAATGATTTTTAGTATATATTTTCATGACCTTTCGCTCATATAGATTTGAATACGTTTGCTTTTTGTTTTTGTTTTGTTTTTTTTTTTTAATAAATTTGTATGCACTCGTCAACGATTTTATGGTATTCGGTATTCACTTTTTGCTGATTTACAGACTGACGTTAAAATGTACTCGTACTATGTATACATACATATAGTATAGATACATATGTATCGTTAGGTATGTAAATAATTAAAATATTAATAACATTTGTTGCATTTTGTTCGCGTTGCAGCTAAGTCGTGTGTTTTATTTTTCTTAGCTTTCTCTTTTTACAGAATATTTCATGTCAATAATTTAGCGGGTGTAAAAATTAATTTAAAACAAAATAAAATAAAATAAAAACTGAAACTAATTAAATCTTTCTGGCTCTCAGGGGTTTGTTTTTGTACGAATATATTGTAGAGGAAATAAAGATATTATGTACAAAAGAGGTTACAGGGTTACAATTAAACTTATGGTGTGGCGGAATGTTGCCGGGGGGTGTGTGGTGTGGTGTGATCTGATCTGGGCAATTATAAACCTAAATGAAATTGCTTACAAAAATTCTTTGAATGCGATTCAAGCATTTGTCAATACACACATACATTGTACAATGTACATACATATGTACATTATATTTGCTTAAAATTTGTATCTATATTAAATCGATTTTTCTTGGCTTTATAACTACTATACATATAAGTATGTATGTTGTATATATAGTTTTAGAATTTTTTCTTTTTTCATTTGCTTTGCTTTTGGTTTTGTTAACGATTCGAAAAGCGGACGTTGAGACTCTCTTAATACCGTGTCTGTCTCTTAATAAAAGTGCTGTTTCCATTTATTTTTCTTTTCATTTCTTTTCTTTTCTTTTCTTTACAGTGTAACTGTGTGGCGTGTCTCTGTGTCTATGCGTGTGTGGGTGTACAGGTGAGTGTGTTATTGTTAGTGTCAGTAGTAGTGTGAGTGAGCTCGTATTCCATTACATTGATATGTTTCTAAGAGGCGGCTAACATCTTGCATACTGGCAAACGAAACGATTTAGCAATTGGACAAGTTCGATTCGGTACGGTACGGTATGGTACGGTACGGTACGGTTCGGTACGGTTCGGTTTGTTCTGCCTTATAGTAGAGGTCATAAATGCTGGATTGCTGACTGCTAACTGCTGCTATCTCTTCTCTAACACAAGGCCAAATATCATTTTTGCTACAGAATGGAGGATCGCAGGCGCGAACTTTTGGTAGTTCAACGGACGCAGGCGCACACGCACACGCGGACATACGGATTGTGGAATGTGAAAGGGTGGGGCGCGGGGCTAATTGACTAAATACTTTCGAAACTGGGGGTAGACCCATGGGGAGGTCTTACAATTGTATTGCTTACGTATTCGGATAACGGACTAGCTAAGTAGCCAAATATACACATACATACATTCAGACACACACACACACATGCAATTTCACTCAATCAGTAAATGAACATTTCAGTACAGTGCGTTACAAAACTATATTGAATTCGATTGAACGAGGTGGCTAACGATTCTACACAACTAACAAACATTACATTAGTGTGGGGCGGGGGGGCAGGACACAGAAATACATATTTATGTAATATGGTAACCCTACATATAACAACAACAACAAAAACATATCTATTTATGTGTAACCAAGCAATCGCATGTATCCTTTAGCTCCTTTATTCCCTACATGGCAACCAGATAGACAGACCTCAGGCGAACGTATAGCAGCGGGTGTGGGGGGGTGGTGGGATGGTGGTAAAAAGCCAAGCACCTAACCGGTAAGCCCTTAAGCACACGCACATGCATATACATATATATATATATGTACATAATATGTATTTTATATAGATATAGAAACGAACGATTTTTGGCTACTTTATGAATTTGAGAACTCGAACGATTTACGATTTACGATCTACGATCTATGTACATACAGATACAGTTACTATATGCATTAGCCTCTATGCTGATTCTACTTTATATGGTGTTCTTCCCCCTCTATCTATCCATCTTTCCAACTTTCATCCTTGAAACATTCTATTGGTTTTCTTTTGGTTTTGCTGTTTGTTTGTTTGCTTTTGTTGGCGGCTTGATTTGAAAAATAGTATCTAATAGATTGTATATATATATGCATATATATATACCATATAAATATACGAACTTTTTGCAATTGCGATGCGTGTATATAGTATATATACTCCTCTATATATTGTATGTATATTTTTGTTATAAGTTGCATTCAAAATATGAATATATTTCCTTTGTTTTTTTTTTTTTTTGCTATTTAGGCTTTTGTGGTGATTCTTCTTTATATATCTTTACGCGCATTCTCTCTCTCTCGCTCTCTGGTTACTCTCTGGGATTAGGTTATAGCGCAGTGTTTCTCTGAAGGCTGTAAATGTAAATAAGGTTTTGCTGTCTGTACACGGATTGGCTCTGCTCTACTCTGCTTTGGATTGGCTCTTTGCTATTATTTACACATTATTACATACAATTCGTTTAAGCGTTATCATCAGCAGTAGTAAGTAGTATTACTATTGTCTTGTATGTATGTATATAATGTTGTATTCCTAATGCTATACTCCCTTCGGCTCAGCGACGATCCTCCTGCGAGTCGTGCGTTTCATCTCTACACGGGTCTCTCCTCCTACTTCTCCTGCATCTCCACTCCATCTCACTAGACTAGGATACTGTTCATTGCTTTTATATAATTCACATTCCATGTTTGCTAACTTTGCTATCACTTTGAGTTTTCCCTTTTGTATCTGTTTCTGTTTGTTGTGTTTGTTGTTTTTGTGTTTGTGTTTGTGTTTGTGTTAACTAATTGCTACGTGGGATCGCCGCCCCTGGCATGGCCATCTCCGCTGGTATCGGCACCATCCCGTCGCTGAAGCAGCGCCCGTTGCTCATCATTGGCTTCTGCTTCACCTTCGGCCTCAGCTTCGGCCTCGGCCTCGGCTTCAGCATCAGCATCAGCTTGGCGATCCTCTGTGTAGGGCAGAGCAGCAGCAGCAGTGACAGTGGCGGCAGCGATCTCCTCTCCTGCTCGACTGCTCACTGGCGAGGTGAAGGTCGTCTCGGAGTCTGTGTGGGAGGCAAGACGAACAGATTAGTAGTCTGGCAATAAATATATTTTACAGAAGTGCTTCAACAGTTACGATCAATGCTATACAATAAGCAGCGTATGTGTGTGTGTGTGTATGATCAAATTCTAAAGCTTTTTAACGTCGATCTGTCGATGGAAGGACACCACAACAAATAACAGAAATAGAAATGGAAATCGTATCGTGGTGCAATACGGAAATCTGTGTGTGGGTGAGAAGGGAAACCTCCTGCACTCGTAATCGTAATTCAAAGGAGTCAGTGCTCAGTGCTGCATAAGTACACGATATCGAGTGCATATCGCTATCGTTTTAATCGTTATATTCATCGATTTTTGAATACTAACAGCTTCTTGCTCGCCTGTCACTCTTCCATGATGAGGTGTTTTTTGTGGTGTTTCTGTTGGTGTCTGTGGAGTCTGTGGATGGGGGAATGTTGGTTTGGTTGGTTGGTTGGTTGTTTTGTGGGTTCAGAATGTAGCATCGAAGAAGTTTGCTGGGGGGGAGGGAGGAGAGTAGAATAGGTACAGTCGATGATCGATGTATGGGGGGCAAGTGCGATCCAGCAAGCGAGACAAATAAATATATATAGATATGTATAGAGAAAGAAAGAGATACAGAGTAGGTTTCGTTTTGTTTTTTTTCGTTTTTTGTTTTTGGGGATTTGGGATTACTCAGAGACGCACTCCATTTTGTGGAATGGAATAGATTAGGAAATATAGAGAATAGAAAGAGTAGATGCCACCTTCCGATAACCTACCCAGACTGCTGTCCCTGGTGTGATGTCCATCCGTGGAGCCAGCGGCAGCCTGCGACGCTGCCGCACTGCTGGAGCGTGAGAGGAGCGGCTTCACCTGGCGCAGGGCCTGCTCCTCGGGATAGCGCGGAGTCTGGAACTTGGTTGGTTTCGATGATGATGATGATGATTGCAATGTCGCAGGTCCTGAGCGTTGGTGCATTAGGGTACGGTGCCTGAGGGGTGGTGGGGATATAGACTTGGCTAAAACTGAATGAGGTAATTTATTCGGTGAGTAATCGCTGCCAGATTCGCCCTGCAATTCAAAAGGATAACGAAAAGGTTTGTGTGAGCTGCCAGAAACTTAGAGAGAGAGAGACTTTAAGAGAGAGACTCACCATAACAGTGCCGTTGTCGGAGACGCCCGAGCCGGACATGTTGTCCGCCAGGAGGCGCTCGCTCTCCGGATCGGACAGGACGCGTGAGATATCAGACTTGTTTTTCAGTATCGACTTGGAGCGCCTGTGATGCTCCAGATTGGGTGACGCATCAATCGAGTCTATTGATGAGGAATGCTTGCTCTCGAACTTGGCTATGAAATAAAGTATACAAAAAGATCATTAAGGATACTGTCTGCGATGCGAGGCAACGCACCTTTGGAGCCGGCATTCTGAATGCCAAACAAATGCTGATTGATCAGTTTGGTGGCAGTGGCTAAGCTCTTGCCCGGCGTGAATACCGAACGCTTCTTCTTTGGGCCCCCGCCGGCGGCAGCACTTCCGCTGGCCGCAGAACTGCTACCCAATCCGCCGGATCCATCCAGCCGGCCACACGCATCGTCGTCCAGCCTGGTGTCCTCGAAGCGGGCACGCGGACGTGCCACACTGCCGCCGCTCGGACTGGGCCGCATCGCGGTGAAGCTTTGCTGGAACCGCGTCTTGCGGTGCTTTGGCACAGAGTTCTCGTTGAGACTGACGCGGCTGCCACGCTCCTGGACATCGAAGTTCTGGTAGACATCGTCCAGAGGACTCATTCCTCCGCCACCGGCGGCCAGGTTGCGCAGCGCCGTGTCCCCCGAGGCGCTCTTCTTCACCTGAGCGCGTAGACCCGTCGCCGACGAGGAGGAGGAGATGGTGGCTGGCAGGCCCACAATGAAGCCCGTCGAGCTGCTGATGCCATGGTGGTGGTGGTGGTGGTGGTGGCCTTCGCGCTCCAGCGGATTTATGTACAGATTGTCCATGTCGATGTCCAGGGCACAGGCCTCGTCGTTGAAGTCCGCCGTGAGGTCGCCCTGCGACAGGAACGGATGCGTCTGGCAGCTGGCGTACGTGTCGGAGCTGTCGACGCTGGCCAGGTCCGCATTGTTGTTGTTGTTGCTGCTGCCGCTGCCGCTGCCCGCCCCGTAGTGGCTGCTGAAGTTTCCCCCAAACAGGAGCAGACCATTGGCGCCGCCCATGCCGCCAGCAGCGCCCACTGTGGTGGTGGTGTTGAAGTTGTTGTTGTAGTTGTGGTTGAAATTGGCGGCACTGGAGATGGTCGCACCGAAGCGCATGGACGCGTCCAGGGGCAGGGCAATGGTCGTCGAGGTGGTGGTGCCATACGACGACGATGTGGACGACGACTGCGAGATGATGGGCATGGCACTGCCACTGCCACTGGTGCTGGTGTACACGGGCAGCAGGATGCCAGCGGCGGGCGGTGGCGGTGGCAGGGACATCAGCGGACCCACGCCCACCGCCTGGTGGCGCTGGTAGCTGTGTGGCGGTGGGGCCAGTTGGGGGGCAAGCAGGCCGAACTGGTTGGCCTGCCGATTGGCCGCCGCCAGACGCATCTCCAGGCAGATCGGCTTGTGGAAGTCCGAAGTGGGCAGCGCGATCACCCCCTCTGCGTCGGTGTACTCCTTGAAGTCCTGCAACGAGTTATGTGGTTGGTAGTATTGGTGAAACGGGGCTCAGGGATCAGGGATCAGGCCAGGTCCTGCTTGGATTGCTTTATTGTTGATGTTTGGTGTAGTACCTGGTCTGGTCTGGGCTCTGGGTTAGCTTTTTGTGTGTGTGTGTGTGTGTGTGTGGGTGTGTGCGTGTCACAGTGACTGCGATTTGTTTCGTTATGGCGGTGTCGCTCGTAAGAACGTAATAAAACATGCAGCTAGAAGGCGCCAAGTAAAACGCAAACGTGCAGCGCTAATTATTCATAATTATTCGTAATTATTTTTAATTAAAAACCTAATTGGAAACGTACACTGATAAACAGAACAAATGCGGTGCGATTCCTGAATGCAAAATATTTCAAACCTTCAGAAATTCCAACCCTACTCAAACCCTTTCCATATTTTCAGCTACAAACATTTTACTAGATCAACAACAAACTGTAGTGGCATCTCTATAAATAATCCTTTAAGAATTAAACTTAAGAGTTAATATTTCATCAAAATATTTCATTAAAATATGGAGTTTTCTTCTTTAAAAAGTTCTGATTTGCTGCTTAATCTGGATCTCTCCCTTAACCCTTTAGAAGGCCCCGACAATATACCGCTTGAACCCGATAATTTTACGTGGAAAATTCATTAAGTTTCTATTCATTTTTTTTTATTAACAATTTTGAAAATGGTTGTGAAATTCCCATAAAAAAATGCATACAAAAATATTTAAAATTAATAAATTTAAAAAAAATAATAATAAAACAAGTCTAATAATTCATTAAAATTGAATTTTTAAATTAGAACTTGAACTTGATCATTGTGACAAATAAATTAGGCCGATCTTTGGTGGAGTGACTAGGTGCCCAAGTAAAGTTTTTGTTTGCATTGCTGAGAAGAATTAATAAACAATTTAATACAATACACGAACAATAAAGAGCAGCATTAAAATAAATGAATGAATTTAAGCATTAAACCTGTCACAAGTTAAAAAAAACATCACAATAGCAAGTTGCCATCAAAGGGTTAAGGTTGGCTCTATGATCTACCTGATCTTTATCTACTGAACTTATGCCCCGAGATGAGTCTTTGCGCAAATAAAGATTCGATTCCGAGTGCTCCAATACTTACCCGCTGGTTGCTCCACTTCCACATGGAGTGCATTGTGCAAAGTGGTGCTCCATTGCTCAGGGGTTTAAATTGAAAATATCTAATCGAAACGACATTGAAATTGATATGCAAACCGAAAGTAAAGGAGAAACATTCTAGACGAGCAATACGGAAAGTATCAGCAGGCGGAAGAATAAGTCGAGAGAGTGCGGCGGATGAATAAATTCGATTCATTGTTTGGTATTTTTTATTGCAAGATTTTTGGTTCAGTTTGGTTCGGTTTGTGTGCTGGCTGGCTGGCTGGCTAGCTGGCTGGCTGCCTGGCTGCTTCGCGTCGCTTCGTTGAGTGGTAACAGAAATAAACAACAACTAATAATGTATAATGTATATAGAGAGCGTTAACATTTGTTCATCAAGTGGCTATACTGTAATGTGTATACGTGTAATTGATTTATTGATTTGTTTTTCTCATTTTAATAAATGATTTTCGCTGATTGGTTTTTCCCTTATTGTTTGTTGGCGTTTCTTGTGACTAAGTAATTTGTGGTCTGATGAACCCATTTGCTAGTATATAGGATACGATTAGGCTAGTTGTAATTTATCTAATTACGTGCTTAGTGCAAATAGTAGAACGATCCGATCGATTTAAACTTTCGCCAAGCCCTCAAGCTCCCAGAACAGAGTCTTCGTTTCAATAATACACTTTAAATAATATTAACACATGCGCATGCGCTTTGGCTTCATCTTCATCTTCATTTCTGGTTCGGTTTTTTCTCCCATTTTGTTTTTGTTGGAGTTGTGGTTGAGTGTAGAGATTATATATAGTAGATAGAGATTATAGAGATTAATTTAATTAAATTCTTCGAATTTTCTATGTCTTTGTTTAGCTTTCACGTCGCGCCGTCCACATTCCGTTTCGCTCACGATGTTAACAGATAAATGGATAACACAGTAGTAATCATAATTAACTGGTATTAAATCGTAGTTGGTTTAAAGTTTAAAGCTAATTAACGAGTAATCCGTACATTTTCGAGGCTCTCCTCCCCGCTGGGAGTAAATTTTGGTTATTGTTTTGTTTTTTTTTTTTTTTGTCTATTAGTATGTATGTAAGTATACCCAAATTTTTGTATTATACTGCTAAACGCTATTCGCGCGCAATGGAATACACTCGCCTTGGCATCCTGGCAAGCCCTTTAAGAAAAAGAAAATGAAAAAGAAACAAAGTCAACATAAAAATTTCCATTTCCAATTCGCACAAGTTTTTCCATTCTCACACAAAGCCAAAACACAAAACAGAGAGAAAAAAACACAAAACGGGAGAAAATCACAAAGAAAAAAAATTATTGAAAAATATGAAACGGAAACGATCTTCAAACAAGGGGGGCGTGGGACAAGGACAAGGACGAGGTGCTTTGGCGTTACCATCTTCGTTTTGCTCAGACTTTTCATAGATAGTATATGTCGATGGTGCCCTCCTCTAGCATCCGCTTCAGCGCCAGATAGTTTTTGGGCGACGGCGGTGGCCGCACCAGCCGCTGCATGCTGTACTCCCGGTCGTGGAACACACAAATGCGATCCTGCAATCAACAACATCGAGACGCCCTCAATATCCCCAACCAACTGGATGGATCAAAACTACTACACACACGCGGTTTGTGGGTGTGTGTGTGTGTGTGTGTGTGGAGAGATCGCTAGCCTCAAGCTGTTACCAAATCATAGAAAGGAGGAGTCTGGAGATTTTCAGCTCAAATTGCATTTTGCTTTTACGGGTTTAACAATTTCTTTGACGGTCTGCCAATGTGTTTTCAGCCTGGTTATTATTATTACACTTTTGCGCATGAATTTATTTTCCTTTGTTTTGTTTTAGTTTTTGCGGTTTTAGTCAAGTGTGTGCGTAAATCGAATTCGTAATTGAAAATTAGAAAAAAAAAAAAAATGGTGCAAAAAGCATGCGATTAACACATAGGAAACACATCCATAGTGCCATACAGTGGATACAGTAAAAGCATTCCATAATAATAAAAAAAAATCAATTGTTAGCATACAGTTACAGTGACAGTTATAGTTACAGCTAGAGTTTCAGAGTTTTTTTTAGCGGTATTAGTCTTACCTTGGTGGTGCAGAAGCAGCACTCGAACTCCACGGGCACATCCTGCTCCAGGTTGTCCATGCGCTGATTCTGCAGATTCTCGAGCGCCACTTGGCGTCGCAGTTCGGCCACTTCCTATAAATAGGATTTTGTTGTTTTGGGTTTTGCATAATGTAAATAAATTGGTTCAGCGACAGAAAACAAATTGGAATAGTACGAGTACATATAGAAATATATATTTTATATACAGTAGAGCAGAGTAGAGTATGGGAAATGCACCACCCATGCAGGCAGACCAGACAACATGCAGCATACAAAGATAAGACGGGGATTAGGTATAGTTAGTACTAGTTGGATTAGTTAGTTGGGCAACTTTTTCTAAGTATTTGCTGCGCATGCGGCCTGCTTGCTAAATGATGCTCAAGCTCTGTGTGTGTGTGTGTGTGTGTATGTGTGTGAAAGTGTGTGCCTGAAATTTCAAAATGTTCAAACTAAGCAACACCTTTTGCTGCTCTCAAAGCAGAAAATACACTCGACTCCAAGTCGTCTCATCTATCATTTAATTGTGCTCCAAATGCGCTCTAAAATTCAACTTTCTATTTGTGAGTATAAGCCACTAAAGCGACCAGTATAAGACCCCTTAAAACCATCTGCTATTCCCCCCGGCAGTGTTACTTGCCACTGTCCTCGGTGCAGTAGGCACAACACACGGCTACCCCAAGATCGATGGCCCATGGAGCCGTCTGAGCGACGACTACGATAATGGCTATGTGGACAGTCGATTGGGGGGCTATGATGGCAATGGCGAATATAGGGAAAACTGGGCGGGCATTACCGTCAGTCCCGACTGCATAACCCTAGAGCCCAGTGCCCAGAATCCACCCATAGAAAGCAATGGACCACTGCTGACGACTACGACCTGTTACCCACCGCCGGAGACCAATCCAGCAACCCCATCGCCACCGCCAGCCACCACCACCATTTGTGAATATCCACCTCAAATCGCATCATCATCGCCGGAACCGTTGCGTCCGGCCTGGCATCAGGACAATGTTGATGAGAGCGAGGAGCGACGCAAGGAGCTGCGCATCATGTTGCAGCACCTGTACGTGGCCCAGGCTCGGGTGCAGCTGGAGGCCACCGAGATTCGGAAGGCACAGGGCGTGGCATCCTCTGCGCAGGCTCAGCTGGAGGAGTCGACCAATAATGTACGCACCATCACAGCCTCACTGCACACGGCCCAGCAGTCGGTGGCCGCCGCGGCCATACGCGCTCAAATCTCCCAGCTTCAGCTGGCGGCACACGATCAGCTGCTGTTTGCCGCACGCCAGGACGTGGATTCGCTGTCCTCGCAGATGGTCGGACTGCAGGCGGCCGAGGGCATTGTCCAGCCGAAGCTCAGCGTTGATCTGCGCGCACTTCTGGACAAGCTGAAGCAGCCGCTGCAGCGGTTTGACAAGCCAACGCCCGTGCCGCCCATCATCACCAATATGCAAGGACTTGGGTTTTATCCGCAGGAACAGCAGCAGCCGCAACAGCAACAGAGTCAGTCGCAGGGACAGACGCAATGGCAACCGCAGTGGCAACAGCAGAATGAAGTCGGTGGGGGGCAGGTGCTATTTCCCGGAGACACAAGCGCACCAACGGGCGGGCATGGTGGTGGGGATCGCAACAAGCCGGTTGCCCTCCCCAACGAAATGAATCAGGGGCCAGGTCAGCCGAATGTCGAAAGTTCGGACAAGAAATGGTACGACTTCTAGATGGATTTATATCTACCCAGTATGCGTCTCCAGATGTTGCATTTACTGCATCTCCAACTATTTCTTCACATATATTTTCCATTAACTTTGATTCGTTTTGTGTCCTCTAAATAAATTGATGGATACCCTTAATATCTCCTTCATGTATGTTTCTATCTGTGTGTATGTTAGTGTGTGTGTTTCTGTGTTTGTGTAGCTGTGTGTATGTTCGTGTGTGTGGTCAAGAGAGAGAGAGAGATATAAAATTCGCTGGCTGAGGGTTTAACTGATCCAATAAAATATATAAACGAGACTTACGAAGGCGATAGATAGTCGAATGAGAGTTTTATTTAGTTATTTAGTTAGTTCATTTTGGTAAAAATTTCATTTGGTTTTCTTCTCAATCATTAAGAAAAGACATTTAAAAAGTTAGTAGAGGCGCATTAATATAAGCTAAAAGTTGACATTGGCATACCGGACTAGCAAAATATTAAAGGAAAATCTAACAAAGAGAATGAGAGAGTAAGGAGTTGAGGTCCTTCATCTATGACAAAGTATTGTATCTTTTAAACCCAAAGCAAGCTAACCGCAAAAATAAAATTACCAAAAAAAAAAAAGGAAAAGTATAAAGAGTAAAAATTGAGAAGCTGACTTTTTACAGGAATACGAAAACTGATCAAGAGTACAAGAGTACATACTATATGTACGATTAAATGGGATAAAAAAATAAGAATGTGATGCAGATTTGAGCTGGCATTCGATTGGCTAATGCTGCCGGCAAAATCCTGATGCAGCCAAATCGCCTCCAAGGGGCTCAAAAAAAAAAAAAACTAAAACCAAAGTTGTATAAAAGAACCAAAGATCTAGGCGTAGTAGTAGTAAGGGGCTTAGCATTGTGTGTGTGTGTGTGTGTTTCAGCCACTGAAAAACGAATCATGTAATCCGCAATATCCATATATTTTTAGCCATATCAATTTCATTCAAAATCAAGGCTCATAATTGGGAGAGAATGGGCAAAGAATCATTCAGTACATATTAAAGAGTAGATGGAGTATATTGATTGAGTAGCTGTGGTGGCATTCGTATTCGAGTTGAGAGTAGAGTAGTAGAGTAGAGTAGAGTAGCTTGAGTTCTTGTGTATACTTTCAATGTACCTCCTTACTGCGTCCCCGTAAAATCTAAAAAGTTGAAATGTGTTGGTAGTTGTTAAAGATACTTTAGTTTTGGCTCTTTGTTGCTTCGTTTTTGCTTGCTTCTTAAGAGTCTTAAGGTTTTTTTTTCATTTCAATTCTTTTCCAAATTGTTTTTGTGGGTTTCAATTCAATTCAATCGAGTGTATAAATCAAAGAGTACATGAAGCTGTTTAAACACTAAAACTCTAAATACTGAAAAGACTAAGGACTACTACATAAGAGGCCGACGAATCACAGAAACGAAAAAGAAAAGGAGTTACAACCAAGGATATATATGGGGATATTCAACTGTAACTGAAGAGGAAATTTCCACGGCTAACGAGTCGGTGGTCGCAAATGAGAAGGAACCAAAAGTGAGTGTGTGTTTGGGGGGTTTTGTTTCGTAAAATAGAGTTATTTGAATATATTTGGATCCAGTTTAATGGCTTCACATTTACTAATACATAGGATTACGATTTAGGAACTTTGAAAACATTAAGATATTCAAGATATACGATTACGATTATGATTATCAATACTGGGACTGGCCCAGGCCATGGCCACATCCACATCCATGGCCCCTGACCGATTCTATTCCCCCATATCCACCCATCGGTTCGCTGACTTACCCCGGGCGTTATCATCATCTGAATGGGCAGACCCTTCTGGTTCGATGCACTTGTCATGTCATCCTCCGCCTGGGCACCATCGGGGGGGCTGCTGCTGCTGGCCGTGGCCACTGCCGTTGCTGCACTCGAGGCAGCCACCATGGCCAGATTATTGGCAACACCGCCACCTGTGGCAGATACTCCTGCTGCAGCCACTCCTACTCCCGCTGTGGCAGGCGGCATCTGTGGGGGCTTCGGTTGCTGCTGGAGCAGCGCTTGCTGTTCCTTTTTGTAGCTCTCCATGGCCATCATTGAGGTCTGTCTGGCATTGGGATTGTCGAAGCTGTACGGCGGCACAGCATCCTGCTCAGAGCTGGATCCGCGACGCTGGGGCAAGGGAAAAGAAAGATAGTTAAGTATCCAAGAGATGCAAAAACAGAAGGAAGATACACTAAAAATATGAAATAAATGAGAAGTACTTACAACTCGCTTACATAATGATTGTTTGTTTGATTAAATTTTGAGCTAAATGAATAAAAGGATATGGTGCTCAAGTATATTTAACTTAGTTAAGCCTGATTAAAATCCTTTAAATTTGATGAATTTTGAATTAGTTGTATGGTTTCTTGGAATAACTGATCTGATATACCCCTTCTGAGTGGATAGGTATTGATCTAAGGCATAAGAATGCCTTTTTTTATATTGATCAAATTCTATTAATTGAATTTACATTAAAAAAAATTTTCCTCTACTGGGGAATCTTGTAAATATCTATTCCCCATTTTGAGTTCTTCTTTCTCACTATATGGATGAATGAATGATATCACTTACATGTTGCAGACTGTTTCTCATGTTGGCTACGTGCTCGTAGTTCTTGTAGCAGCCGGTGCCGGTGGTTGCCGGATTGCGGCTAACGCTGGTCGAATCACCTTCGGTGCTGTTCCCGTCCGTCTGCGATATATTGTGGCCTGTGGGCGATCGGCGTAGCGCGTGGGTTAAACGGTGCCAATTTTTCAATGATCTTGTGTGACTCTCGCGCTTTTCTGCATTGCATTTGTATGTGTGTTATGTGTGTGTGGGTGTGTTTATGTGTGTGTATGTTTGGGTTATTTATTGGGTTAATTGGTTCACGTTCAGATCGATTGGTTTTGGGTTGTGTTGATGTCGTTTGGTTGGTTGGATAGCACACACAAAAGGAAGCCATGAATGCATTTTGTCGCCAGTTTTTTTTTTTTGTTTTGTTCGCAGTTTCGCATTTGTTTAGCCGACGACAGAGACATCAGTGAGAGATATCGGTGAAATATATACACAGGGATATATATGTATATTTTGTATATATGTTTTGGTTTTTTTTTATGGATTTGATTAGATTTTGATATTGTGTTTTTGCAGCGCAAATGAAAGTTTTGTGTCAACCAAATTAAAAGAGGAAAAAAGAAAGAAAAATATGAATTTTATGAATGTTGGAAAAACAAACTGTTTGGTTTTTGTTGTATATTTTTTTTTGGTTAATAATTGTTAATACGGCGATAACGACGGGCGACGACGTACACAAGAAACGTTGAGGATTAATTAAGCAACGATACGTTTATGATAGGTTTTATTTACTTTAGTAGGGAGCGGGGTACAGTACAGTGAGAACAACATTGATGAACGACGTCTATAAGTATGGGTTGGGGGTGGGTTTTAAAGTATAAGAACAACATTTATTTTCAGTAGCTAGTAAACACAATTGCTGAACCATTATCTAATGGTTAGTTTTAGTTTCGGTTTCCGTTAGTTAGACAGTTTAAAACATCGAGTTAGTAGAACAAACTATAATTAAAATATTTGTACTAGAAATCATAGATCTAAAGTGGAAAATGAAGAGTGAAAATTTAACTAAAAAAAACACACAATTGAATAATGGAATTATGTGTACCTCTAAAATTACAATTGAAGTCTTTCGTTCTACCAAAATGACATGAGTAATCAAACTATGTACGAATAAGTGTGAGTGTTTTTTATTTGGGGTGGCTGTCAGTGCAATGATCGCGGGCACTGGACTCGGCGAAACAAATGTGCGAAACACAGCAGTTGCCATACAGAATTAAAGTATGGCCAAAATCCCGATTCATGTTAACTTACGTCACTCATTTGTGTGTATGTGTATGTGCGTCTGTATCTGTATACTTGTTCGTGAAATGGAACGTAACGAAACTAATGGGAAAGTACGAGTATCTCTCACCTTTGACTGGACAAATGGGATACATTTTAGTTCGATGTGAGTTTTTTTTTATACCTTTGCTGCGGATCAATCCCTGACCCCCAGAGTCCGGTCAGGCATTAAACACCATTATATACAGGGTATACATATATGTATGCATGTACATATGTATGTATATGGTATGTATGGAAATGTATTCATATGTGTGTGTATTTGTTTGGAGTTGTATAATGAAAATAATACAGCGCTGTTTGGTTTTCGTTTTATTGCTAATTTCACAGACACACAAAGTTGTTTACGTTTTTAACAGTGGTACACAAAAGTATGAGTACAGGACAGACAGTACAGTATAGTACATTGGGAACAAGTACGAGTACGAGTGAGTATTCATATTCGCGAATACAATGGCTTGAGCATAAAGAGAGCGTACACATTTTTCTATAGATTAGATCATACATATATCATATCATATCATATTTATCGGGTTAGAGCATGCAGCGCGTTAGATTCCAAAAATAAAGAGCATAAGAATGTAGGAAAGAAAAAAAAGATCTTGGGGAGGGTGGGACACACACACATAGATAGATATAGGATATCGGATATACATATATGTACATATATCTTTGAAGGAAAAAGAAATACGAAAAACATTAAGTAAAAGGCACGTAAAGGCTTCTCGGAATGGCTTCTCTTCGATCTGATCTGATCCTAATCTTTTCTGTTCTGTTCTGGTTCTCTAATGCTTTGTTGTTGTTTTGTTTTGTTTTGTTTTGTTTTCTTTTTTTTTTTTTTTGTATGGCGTCCTTGAGCGCAATGATAGAAATGTTTGAACTATGCGGGGGAACGCGATGCAAATTATATATAATAAATTTTACAAACATCCACGACGCACAAAAACATATCAAACGGGATTCTGAAAATCCTGCAGCCGTGTAAAACATTGTATATCTGTATGTATGCTCGCTTTGCTTACATCTAAGTACTAAATATTGTAAGTAATATATACTGTATCTATCGGGCTTAACACTTAACTAAAACGCCGACTCCAATGGTTTTTTTTTTTGGATCCATCCTTAAACATGTCAAATATATCGCTGCAAACTAGGAGCATTCTTTTGCTTTAAATAAGGCATTTTTTATATCGTTTTTTTGTTTTGTTTTTGTGCTTCATTTGTTAGGAACGTTTCGCCAGCATTTGCTAAGTTCTCTCTCTCGTTGCACTATGCGAGTATATGGAACGAGTATATTTTAATATGTATACATACATATACATATGTACTACCTAGTACTATACATATATATGTTGCTGATGCTCGCTCTCTCTTTCTAAATTATAACTAAGCTTACTCCCTCGCTCACTATGTCACAGCTATGTATGTAGTACAACAACTAATTTCATAAATAAGGCTGACTCTTTATATATATTTATTTTATATTTATATATTTTTAGGGTCTTGTGCTGCTGCGGCTGCGGCTGCTGCTGCATCCCTCCATGGAGGGAATTTCACTTATCGCTTTTGACTAGTGCGCTCGATAAATGCCTGTCCTGTCTTGTCTTGTCTTGTCTTGGAGTACGAGTACACGAGCACGAGTTAAGGTAAGGCCTAAGTTAAACGCTAAGTTTTAGACTAAATCAAAATTGTGCTTACGCGGATTGTTGTATTCAGAGTTTTTACGGCTCTCTCTCTCGAATGGCGTGTGGTGTTAGCATTCTCAGGGGTTTCTTTTTGTTTCTTTGATGCACACACACTCACGCTTTCACTCACACACAAACACACACACACAGGCGGTATCCTTTGCTGCTGCTGTTTTTTTTTGGTTTAGGGTTTATTATCTTGAAAGTTTTGCTTGGGGGGAGAAAGACAGATTTTTCGCGAACCAAATGTACTATGAAAATCAGGACAACAGCTCAGACAAAAAAAATAAAAAAATATCAGCAAATTTTTAGCAGATCTTCGTTTCCATTTTTAGAATTAATTTACTTTTGGTTTTTACTTTTATTTTTTAATATTTTCTCTCATTTTTAGTTATATTTTCAAGTGCTGATGGGTATCTGGGGAGGGCAGTTAGCAAAACTTTCAATACGCGATAACGATAGTTAGATAGGGAGATAGAGTGAGAGAGGGACAGGGACAGGGACACGGAAAAGGAGAGAGGAATGAGGCACAACGCTACGTATGCGCAATGCGCATAGATTTTTACTTTTTGGTTCGAAAAAGCAGCTCATAGCGTGGTGTCTGTGTGTGACGTATGTGTGTGTGTGTGTGTGATGTGTATGTATGTATATTATGGCGCCTAAAAGCAGTTACAATTAAATTTAATCACAACATTCAATTGGAAAGGAGGCGGGGTGGAAGGGTCTCTGACCCAACCAATGAACTAAATGGAAGCACGAGTACATAATTTCATTTCATATATCCTCTTTGCTTTTTTTTGGGTTTTTTTTTGGTTTTGATTGACTTTAAGCTTTAAGCAGCAAGGCTTTTTCGAGACGACTAATGGGATTAATGGTTTGGTTCTACATAACGGTCAATTTCTTGTTTACTGGAAGTACTTTTCTGTGTTTTTTTTTTGGTTGGTTGGATTTCCTTTTTCGCACTTAGATCTACGACTAATTACCGGTCTATGTCTATGTCTATCCCTCGCTCTTTTTGTGTGTGTGTGTGTGTGTTATTTGGTTGTGTGTGTGTTTTGTGTGGGTGAATCTGTGTCTGTTAAACAAACTAATTTACAGATACAATAACAATTGTATGGGTTTTTGTTTTTCTTAGCTACGTTTCGCTTAGTGTGTACTAGTAGACCCTTGGGTTTTGTTGGTTGTTTGGTTGGTTGGTTGGGACTAGGGGCTGGGCTGGGCTCGGCTGGCTTGGTTCCTCCCAGCGGCTGTCTTCGTTGTCACTGGAACTGTTCTGCTGCTGGGCATCCCGCTCCTCTAGCAGGCTGCGATTTAGCTCCTGGATGCGTGCGGAGAGTGCCCGCCGTCGAGGCGTGCCAAACGATGGCGGCGGTGGCGCCTCGATCAGTGTGTTTTTTTCGCCTAGGTCAAAATCAGCCGCATCAATCAGTTTTTAGTTTAGGGTTCAACCAAAGAGTGGATCAAAGTTTGGGGTCAAATATTGGGTGGGTAGATGTGTAGGTGTGTGTGTATGTGTGTGTGTTTTTTTTTACATGGTTTTCAGGGTGTGGTTCGGTTGTGGATTTTGTGAGCAGAAAGTAGAAAAAGAAGAGCAGAGAAAAGAACAAGTTGTAGATACATATACTCGCATCTAGGGCGTTCGGATTCAGGTTTGGGGTTGGGGTTGGATCGCTCGGGATAGGCTTATCACTCGTGGTCGGAGTATAACCCTATCCCCCACTTGGGCTTAGCACAAGACTAGGCGGGTATTTCGGTATCGAAACGCTAATTTACAAACTACTTTTCGCTAAGAGAATGAGCATATGTATATATATCATATGTATGTGGCTGTGGCTATGTCTGTGTGTGAATGTGGGTGTAACTTATGTAATCAGCACTTGAAAATTTTCTAAAATGTTTTTTTTTTGTTTTTATTTTTTAATTTTTATTTTGTATTTATAAATATTTGTATTTTAATATAGTTTGGTATAAAATTCGAAATGGAAACTCTAGAATGGGCATTCAAATTCGCTATTTGTTGTTGTTGTGTGTGTGTTTGGTGTGTGTGTGTGTAGCAGTATCAAATCAAGAATCAAGCAATGATTAGCAAATTTTCGTTTCATTTATCATTTATCTTTATCATCATAATTCCAATATTCCATAATTCTTTTTTTGCAATTCCAAATGCAAAACTAATTCGTCAATAGGCAATAACTCAACTTGAACTGAAGGCAAAACTCAAAAGCAGAGTAAAAGTAACAAATCGCAAGATCTAAGCTACAACTGTGTATCCATGGGGCTATATTCCATTTGTCGGCTTAACTCGAATCGTCTCCTAATGGCAGCTAGGCGGGGGAGGGTGGGGTCCGATATTTACACAGTACACCAGCACACAGTGCGTTTCATAGCTGTTGCATGGAACATATGCCTGTAAGCGTGGGTGGCTGTTTAGTATTTTCCATCAAACTTTTAAGATAAATTTCATGGATTTTCGTTGGTCTCGAATTTCCATCTGCAGCTATGAAACTCACTGTTCTGACTCTTCTCTTCGTGTTTCATTAAGCAGACTATAAATGTCGAAAGGTTGAGCAAAGCTAAAGCTAAAAGTGGATACTCTCTCTTCGATCTGGGATACTGTGGCTATACCAAGATAATATCTCAAGAGACAAAAAACAGCTAAGAGCTAGAATTAAAGAGAGATGTATATAAAAGGGGTGTAGTAGAGATGTGTGTGTGTGTGTTAGTGTACTTTGTGTGTTATATAAGACGCTACGGAAAATGCGTTTTGTCAAAGGCTACAGCGATGTTGGCCCGGTTACGGGTGGCGGTGGGTTGTGGGGGTTAGTCACCTGGAGCGCTCTGCACATCGAGTGTTTGCCTGCCTATATTGGGGTTGCTCTGTCTTTTGCCCTTCGGATGCACGACATTCGTCTGCTTGCCTAAAAGAGAACACACACACATTGATGGGCTGGGTTTATAGGGGTGGGATCCGTTGCCTACTTCTAGGCGCTTAATGCAGCAGCGGGTGTTTGAAGGGTGGATTGGGTGGGTGGATTGAGACAGGGTGCCTTTGGCTTTGTACACGGGTGTAAACCTCACTAATTTGTCGTTAAATGCGCTAAGTACAAAAGCATTTGCCTAATTGACCATTTAATTAATCTTCCGGTCTGGTGTGTGTGTGTGTGTGTGTGTGTCTGTGTATATACTTATTGTAGAGAGTTTATTGTGTGTGTGGGCGGGGTTAGGGCTACGGAAACTTAAGAGTAATTCAATTTAGCTTAACTATTGATAGTTTACAGCGGATTAAAGATTGTATATGGTATAGTTGGTTCAACAATTTCTATCATCTTACGGCTCTTTTTTCGTACTGATCGGACACGTTCCGTCAAATGCTATTTACACGCCTCCTCCAAAAAGGAAAACTCAAACAGATGTACAATATAAGAAGAAAAAGCGAGAAACAGCAAGAAAGAGCGAGAAACAGAAACACAGTGCATGCCACAAAAGATCTAAAGTAAGCAAAAGGCAAATAATTCAAAGGAGAGGCAATGTTGCATGGAAAGGCACTCAAGGGGTTAAAGGGTTAAATGCTTCTAAAGCAAGGCATACTTCATACTACACTTTATTTATATACATATTAGTAGTATTTTAGTTACATATATATATTATTTTTGATTGATTGTTTGATGTATTGACATCAATTGTGGTTTTTTTTTTTTTTTTGTGTGGAGAATAATTGTCTTACACCCACACACACACTTACCTGTGTCGACAATCACATCGATGAGATCCATGGACTTGGCAAAGGCATCTTTCAGATTGATATGATGAAAGGAGACAATGCTGCCCTCACGCTTGGCGCGATCGAGTGCCTCACGGCGCTTGAGGGCCTTTTCGCGTCGCATCTGATTCTTATAAAATTCAGCAAAATTGTTAACGATGATGGGAATAGGCAAAGCGATTACCAGAACACCGCATATGCAACACACAGTACCAATAACCTTTCCCAGTGCAGTTGTGGGATAGATGTCCCCGTAGCCAACAGTTGTCATTGTAATACCCGCCCACCAAAATGTTTCCGGTATTGAAACGAATTTTGTATCCTTTTCATCCTTTTCGGCAAAATATGCCAGCGAAGAAAATATGAGAACGCCCATGGCCAGGAACAGCATTAGTAGACCGAGTTCCTTATATGAGTTACGCAGCGTAAAGCCTAACGACTGCAGGCCCGTTGAGTGACGGGCCAGCTTAAGGATTCGCAGGATGCGCATAATGCGAAATACTTGCACCACCCGGCGCACATCCTGGAACTGGTCCGTTGCATTCTTATTCGTTTCCAATAGAAATAACGAAACAAAGTATGGGAGTATTGCCAATAGGTCGATTATGTTAAGGCCGCCCTTAAAGAACTTCCACTTGTCCGGCGAGGCGCTAAACCTAAGTATGTACTCTAGAGTGAACCACGTGATACACACGGCCTCAACCATTGCCAATTGCGGATTATCCTGTGGTGTACCGTTGTCAATGTGTTGTAGTTGTGGTAGGGTGTTCAACGTCAGGGCTATGGTAGACAGGACTATGAATAGTATGGATATCACTGCGATAACCTGTAAACGGTAAAGAACAATCGAGACTTGTCGAAGACCATCATTCAGCAAATGGATATTTTCAGTTTTCGTATCTTATGTATATCGATTACACAACGATAACACGTTTACGATAACGATTATACGATTATACGATTACGATAACGATTATAGGATTTTTGGATAGGATAGTAGACGTAATCGGTAATTGGTAATTGGTTTCTATTTAGGTAGTAGTAGTAGTAGTAGTTTTTACGACATATTTCATTCCACACACGACGACTATGCAACATGTTCTTTAAATTGATTGTTTGATTGATTGATTGTTTGTTTGATTAATCCAACAAAACATGGTTACAACATTCAACATCAGCAAATCAACAGCGAGTAGCAGAGAGTACTACTCCTCATGTCGAGAGTTCAGAGTTCACTGCGATTCGTGGGTGGATGTATGGGACGTATGGGGGGGTTAAGGTTAAGCAAACATTCAGTTAGCTTCAACTTCAACGTTAAGTTTTCATTTTCTGATCGTCTTCGATCGGAGAGAGGGGAATTTTCGATTGATTTTTAGTCAAGTTGCTGCTGTCTTTGGTCTGTTAGAGTGAGAGATAGATTGAGAGAGAGATATTCTGGGGCTTTTGTTGTTGGCTTTCCGGATTTTTTCCCGGACTTTTAGTTGTTGTTTTCGTTTTTGTTTGTACCTTTCAAAGGCTGCTGTACTATATGTGAAGTATATCATTTTTTTTGTTCAGTTTTATCTGTCGTGAATCCTTCTCCATAATACAAACTTAACGTTTAAATAAAATAGAAACATATATAAACATAAACATTTTGGATTAAGGGGGTTTCTCTTTCCTTTTTTGGAGCTCGTCGGGCTCAGTGGATCAGCAGCGATGAAGGGGGGGAGGCTAGGGAGATCTCTGATCATGTTTATGGTCTAGATCAACTCTATCTCATGTTACGTGGTGGGTTTTGTGTGTGTTGGTGTGTGGCGGTGTGTGGTGGTGTTTGTGGCGTGTGGTGTGGTGTGGTGTTTAGTTTGTGTGTGTTTGAGTGGTGGTTAGGTGGTGGTTAAGTGGTGTTTAAGTGGTTCTAGTGGTTCTAGTGGATAGTGACTGAGGTTGTGGAGTTTTGTTGGTTTGTGTGTGTTATGTGTTTTGTTTTTGGATTGTGGGACAGATCACATGACGCAACACAAGGACATAACACACCTACATACATTATTTATTCTGTATACGAGTGTGTGTGTCATCTATAATTGGATCGATTATATTATGGTATGAGGGTGAACCAGGGGGGGCACTCCATCGTCAAATAAGAGACGCTATACCCTTGGGGTCTGCAGTCGACATTTTTATTATTATTAATCTATATTTGTTTAGTTTTTGTTTTCTAATCATCTTCATCCTTATTCTCATCCTGCTTAAATCTAACGATTGGACAAACAATTTCTCACGTGTTTTTCGATTCTCAGTTTTTTATTAGTGTTTATTTTTGTTTCTTGGCGGGTTTTCTTGGGCGGGGGGTTTGGTTTCGGAAAATGATTGAATAGATAGATAGATAGAACATAACTCAATGGTTGGTTAAATCAAATTACGAGTACATCTAGCAATATTCATGATAGATCTAGCAAATATGACAAGAAAAACGAAAAACTGAAGAAGAAAAGACAAAGTTAAATTTTAAATTCAAATCCAAATCCAAATTCTAATTCAAATGCATAACTTTCGTAGCAAACGAGCAGAGAATTACGAGTTTACGAGAGAAAAGATTCCAAAAAAAAAAAAAACAAAAAACAAACTCAAAACTCAAAAATTGAATTTAAAATTAGAAATCAGAAATGAAAAAGTTGAGGACTCTCTGGCAAGGATCACATCTCCAGTGCGAAGCGTGCCATTTCAATTGCGCTGCCAGAGAAGCCCTCAATAAACAATTTTTGGTCTTTAAATAATTTATGTAATTTACCAAAATACTGCCAATCCCATGGATTACGAGAGACAGGTCCAGGGGTCATAGGGCCATAGGGGACAGGAGACAGGAGACAGGAGGCCTGTCTGCCTGTCAGAAATGCAAATGCAAATGCAAATTTCAATGCCAGATTGGATTGTTTATGGAAGAGTTAGGATAGAGCCAAAGTCGTCTGTCTGCTGATTGCCACATTAGGTCACAAAACAATTGCAAAATTTTCGCCCCGCAATCTATTGGTTGGTTGGTTGGTTGGTTGGTTGGTTGGTTGGTTGTATCTGTGTACAAATGTATGTCTGGCTATGCATGTCTGGATATATATGTATGTATAAATGTATCTGTGTCGGTGAGTGTGTGCGTGTGTGTGTGTGTTTTGTGCGTGTGAGAGTGTGACTGACATTTGACTTTCTTGAGCAGCAGACTCTGACAAAGAGACAGAGAGAGGCAGAGAAGAACAGAGACTGACTGTGTCCTCTCCATCTCTGGTTCTGAGGGCTTTTAGATTGAACATCTTCGACATGCTACCGCCCCCAACTATGCTACCACTTTTCTTTTGGGGAACGGCATGTGGCATGATTAGCTGATATATATATATAGTATGTATCGTACGAGTATATATAACACAAAGGTGCCTCTCTGTGTGTGTCCAGATCTACCATAGTAGGCCACTGTACGCAACCACGCTTGGATATGGATTCGGATCTGGAACTGGAATATAGTAGTTGGGGAATATTTAGGGATGGATAGTCGGGTTGTTTGGGTTTAAATTTTCATTGAGTTGAGGTTGAATTTTCATTGCATTGTGGTTGAATTTTCCTTCAGTTGAGAGCTACAATTTCGTTTTGGTTTGAGGTCTGAGGTCTGGGGTCTGAATTTTTCTTTCATTATGATGAGTAGTTGGCAGGGTCACGGGCGGACGGGCGAGCGCTCTGTTCTTTGGTATGGCTTATGGTATTCTACATATACAGATACAAAAGTTAAAGATAGTTATGCAGTTATTAGACAAAAGATACTTAGTCAAGGAGAAGTCATTACAAAACATAATAAATACGCACTAAAAGATACACTAAACTAAAAGAAGGAGACACAAAAAAACAACCGAAAAATCATTTTAATGGTGCTTTTTTTTGGTCAGCTAGAGCAGCTTCATACGATGAGCAGAAGATAGATAGAGGAGTGAAATAAATACATAGTACAGATACAAAGAGTGAGAGTTACAGATAGAGATAGATTTAGTGGGTGGGAGAGAGTTCGCGAGGGCAGATAGACAGACAGAGAAAGAGAGAGGGATATGAGAGAGAGAGAGAGACATCTACTGATTGCAATTGAAGTGGTCTTTGATTTTTTTTTTGTTTGTCAAACTTCGGGAAAGTTAATTAAATTTCCATAATTAAATTCCATTTCAGGAGTTGGTTTGGCTGGGCGGGGGGGGGTTCGGGGCTTGGGTTGGATAGCTGGCAGGGGTGTGTGGGAGGGGGGGTTACAACTTTCTACTTGAGATGGCGATGAAAGTTTTACAAACTAATTTTACTTTCGATTTCTTATTTCGCTTTCGATTGAACAGAATGCATTGGAGAGATGGTTCGAAAACAAAAAAGTCTTGTGCGAATTTTACTCTTTTTTTCTTTCTTTCTTTCATATTTCATGTTTTTTTTTTTCTTCTTTTTTTTGGAACTGCTACCATTGCTGCTCAGTCATGAAGGTGGTTTTGGGGGTAGGGTTGGGGGAGTTTTCGCTTGGGGGGAGGTTGAAAGTAAAACATGATATCGCAAATACTCAAGTCGGCTCTTAGAAGATCGATCGATTGTCTCTTCTGAACAGAATGTAAAACATAAAAATGCACAAAACTTACAACTACTACAAAATGTTCAAAGCGCAACATGTTGCAAAAAGCCTTTGGGGTGTATGGTTTTTTTTTTGGCCTACAAAAATAAAAACAAAAATTTCCATTCTATGAAAGCCGCTGGAGAACGTGAGCCACAAGATGTACAAAACTCAAAGCGAGATAAAGGAAGGCCAGCCGCCTCGGCGTATGCCGATGCATCAAGATACGCTTGCAAAAAACGGGGGACAAAATATGGAAATTCGTTCAAATGAAAATTTGGTAATATTTGCTTTGAATATCTAAAAATATAGATATAGAAATATAAACTCAAGAGTTATATTTTCTTTTTATTTCGGACAGACCCTTTGCAAGTGCATCTAAAAAAAGGAGTACAAATTTCAATTAACTTCCCTGAACCTGGCTGAAATCCACTTGAATTACAAGTAATGAAAAGTTTTCTTTTTTTTGGATGGATAACAGAACAAGATACCAGGGGAGGGCAATGTGAAGTACAGTGAGAGCACAAGATAGTGGTGAGGGCACGGTGGAGTGGTGTTGGGCTGAGGTGAGTTGGGGGGGAAGAAGAAAAAATAATAGACAAAGTCAAAAAACAGTCAAAAAACAATTCATGCCACAACGCAAAAATTGATAGACAAGAGAGTTTTCTCGTAAATATATTTAGAGAGGTGTGGATACAATACTAAACATACAAATTTACACATGGTATACAATCGCAAACAGCAGTCTTCACTGTACATAGTACAAAACATAAACAAAAATACTAAATCTATATTAAAAAAAAACGAGACAAAAAGGGTAGAAACTTGAGTTCGATAATAATATTAAAAATTACATTCAATTTTAATTAATAAAATTGGTGCAAGACTTAAAATTGTGTTTTTTTTTTGTGTGTGTGTGTTTGTGTGTGTGTCGTGGATAGGGTCGGTGGGGTTATGGGTCTCTAATTTGACTAAAAATATATTTAACATATATTTTTGAATCGAGTTTCTTGTGGGTTTTGTTTCTGTGGAAAAGTGGGTTGGTTTTTGTGGAGGGAGTGGTTCTAGTTGGACTCACTAAAAAACAAACAAAATTCGATACAAACGGCTATGGTTACGTCTATATAGAATTGCGCATGAATCTACAACAAAATTATATATCTCTAGGGGCATTGGAATGCAGCATATTTTTTTGTGGGTGCAATATTTAAATATTGAGAGATATTTGTTCCATAGATAAATATATAGTATCAGAATGGTTACGGGAATTCATAAAAGACCACAAAACAGTATTACTCTAAATGAAAGTTTACTTTGATTATTCTGTGATTTTTCTGCTTATTCGTACTGATAAGATTCTGGATGACAGAGAGATTTTTCTAATAGAAAGACATTGGGGAGGGACTATCGTTTCTTTGTATCTGTGTGAGTGTGTGTAGGTTGCGTGTATTTTTGTTTGTGTGTCTGTGTCTGTGTGTGTCAGTGTTGAAGATCGTAAGTAACCAATGCAATGGTCGAATAGTTTTTACAACAATCAAAGTCAAAGAAAGTTGATTAAAAACACAATTACAACGAGAGAGTTAAACAAATTTTCTTCCATTTACAACATCAAATACCGATATAAAAAATACATACATATATACGACAGAATTTTCGTACATATATGGTACTATATATACACACACACATTTCATATCATTAAACATCGCCAATAAGAAATGAAAAGTTCAACACAAAAGGCAAACAACCAACAATAATTTTCTTTGGATATCATAATGTTCAAAACCAAAAATTCGAGTATGTATACTTTTCCTTTGTACGAGTATTTGGTATTTTGTTGTGGTATATTTCTTGAGTAGTTAGTGGAGTAAAAGTAGTATTTTTTGTTGGGTATTTTGTTTGTCTTCGCGAGAGGAGACTGCACCTGAGTATTTCTGAGTTTCGGATGTTAACTGCTTTTCTTTTATTTCATTTTTGTTGGTATTTAGTTAGAATCAGAGCTAAGATAGTTTTTTTAGTTCTCATATTTATCATTTCGTTGAAAAAAGGATGTGTTTAGGCGTGGTATTAAAAAGAAATAAAAAATATACAGAACTTAAAAGATCCTTTTGTTAGTTTCATATTCGTTTCATTGTTCACCCTGACGGAAAATCGAGTTAGTTAGTTGTTGAAAAACAACGGAATAAATAAAACTAAAAAAAAAGTACAACTGGCAAGGAGCTCGGGAAATTTTTCATTACCTTTGGAATAAAACAAAAAGTTTAAATCATAGAGTTCAAAGTTCTGAAAATCTATAGAAATATCAAGAGAGATTCCTAATAAAGTTTCAAAAATAAATAAAAAGAAATAAAAACTTTTAAATGTTCCTAAAATGTTGAGAAAATAAAAAATACATAAATTCAAATGAAAATCAAACTGAAAATCGAATGAAAAATTATTGGAGATGCACCCAAAATATGTTGTAATTATTTCCATTTTCCCTTGATTTCCGATTCAAGCTGAAGCTAACACAAGAAATCTGGGCAAATTATTGGCTGTATATGTACAAAAGCTAAAGCCAAAAATTGCGGGTGTGTGGGTGTGGGATTGATTTAATGGTTCTCGTGTATACAAGGGACACATGGTCCGAAGGATCATATCATCCATCTGAAGGATATGTGTATGCTATAGAGATATTTCCCCTACCTAGCAAATTGGAAAATGGAAATGTATTACAACACCGTTTTTGGCCGCTTCTCCCCGGAGCCCCTGTTCGTTACAATATTTTCGAGGATTTCTACAGCACACCTGCCGCCTGGTCATATCGCTTATTGCCCATTCCCAAACATTGTTACAGTGGGGGAGGGGGGATTTTTTAGGGGTAGATAAACAGAGATATTACTTCACCATCATCATCAACAATTAAGAGATATATATATATATATAGTAGATATGTATATTAATTATTTTCAGAGTAGATATATGTATATAAATATATAGTTGTATGTATACTGTGTGTGATGTTAAAAAAAGGTTGGATTAGAGAAACGATTAGTAAAAAAATGTTGGTAGTTTCAATGGATCGATCGGCCTTAGATGATCGGTTTTTGGTTTTTTTTTTTGTATTTTTTATGCAGCTGAAAACTTTCCGCATGTCGTCTAAAACGCAAAATAAAACTCAAACTAAAACGAACATAGAATGCATCTTAAAGTAAGCAAAAGTTTTTAAGTGGTGGGGAAAAACAGGAAATTAAAGACTATGTTCGGTTACAAGTGTCTCGCGTATTGCGGCAGCTCCCCTCGTTTGGTTTCGTACTTGAATCCGCGCGGAAGAAGCTTAAGAGCCGAATGGGAGTATTATTCTGAAAGGAATCCCATAACTTTGGGAGACAGGACAGTCCGGTTCTGCTCTGCACGTCACATGGCGAAAGCATATATGTACATATTAATATATACATAGATACGAGTACATATGTTGGTATATACAAACACTGAAACACGGTTATCAATGGATCTTATCAACGTCTGAACATATTTCAAACGAACAGTCGCTTAATGGACATAGAAAAACATTCGTAGCGAGTAGTGAGTAACGAGTAGCGAGCAACGAGTAAACGGATTTCTTTGTGCAAGCATCGATTTGAATCGCAGAAGCAAAATACTTGTATATGTAGTAGCTTGGTGATATTTATTATGTGGGAGGAAGGCAATTAATTGTACAGCATTTGAGATAGATTCTTACACTATATATATAGTACGAGTATGTACGTACGTAGTAATACTCTGTGGATCTGCATATCGACTTGATTGAGGTTTTTATATGTACATAGAATATATTACAGAGTGCACTCTGCAGACCCTAAGCCAAAATTTGCTATAGCTTTCTGTTGCGATGGTGTACAAAATAATAATGATTCACAAATCCAAAAAAAAAGGTAAACAACAACAAAATAAAAAGAGAGTTATACAAAAGACATAAATAAGGGGGATTATCGGGTATTATCGGGAGCTGGAATATATTTCTTACGCTTTTTGACATTGACACGGTTAAACGTTTAATTAAATATACAATACAAAAAAAATACACATCTATGAGAGGACGGAGATGCAACCGATTGGACTTACCCGTGCCGCGAAGCTTGTTGTCGGTTTCTCGAGCAGCTCCCACAGATACTTTTGATATTCGGCGCATTTACCTTCGCCAAATTCCTCCTCATCCCGCTGACGCAGCGATTCGGCCTCCTTGCGCATCTCCTCATGGACATTCTCCTTGCGCTGATGGTACTTGTGCTGACAGCACGACTCCAGATACAGTTCGTCAACGCCCCAGTACTCCAGATCATCACTAAACGCAAGCACGCACATCTCGTCCACAATGTGCAGCTTCCCGGTGCGATAGAAGTTCAGAATCGAACTGAAGCTCTTCGGATGGCGGTCGAAGAAGTACTCGTTATCGACGAGCGAATAATCGTCGCACAGCTCTGTGATGGCCTCGTGGGTGGTGCACTCCCTGAGCCGCCCCAGCCGCGTATGTGGCAACCGCTCCAGCGTTCGCCACAGCACCTCATGCTTGACGCCGCCAACGTTGATGGAGACGCGGCTGTTCAGTGCCTTCGATTGGGCTATCATGAACGGCTCGGGGGGCGGTATGGAGGACATGGATCTGGAATGTGTCCGCTGTAGTGCACCGGTGGTAGTGTTGCTTTGGCTAATACCGCCGACGCCAATGCTAATGCCAACGCCAATGCCGCTGACGCCGGCATTAGATGTGGAACCGCCAGCGGGGCCGCCAATGCTGCCACCACCTGGGACGCCGCTGGCTCCACCACCACCGGATGACCCAGCGAGTGCCATTTGCTGCTGCTGCTGTTGTTGCTGCTGCTGCTGTTGAGCTGCCGCCAGAGTCTGCTGGGAAGTTGTGGGATTTGAATGCGTTGGTGATGTAACTGGGAATGGAGCGTAACGAACTTCCTTGCCAATGGCACCGCCACCGCCGCCGCCGCCACCCGATCCGGATACCGATCCCTGTACGGACCCGCCTCCGCCGCCAAGTCCTGCAGCAGTAGATGGAGCAATAGCTCCCAGGATGCCAACACCGCCGATGGATGATGCTGGGGCGGATGGGCCAGCAGGGTGGCTGCCATCAGCATAATCCATGTGGCGATTGTTGAGGACCATTGGGCCGCCGGCAGCACTTGGCCCAATGTTATAAGCAGGGCAGCCAGCTGCTGCCACAGATCCGAGGCCGATGCCACCATATGCACTAGCTCCACCGGTTCCCATCGCTGATCTCTCCCAATCGACATTACCGCTTGTATCGTAGTAGGGCTGATTATCGCCGATGTCGGCAGGTCCGGTAGCTGTAGCTGCAAGCTGCAGTCCGCGTGCAATTGCCTCGTGATGTTGCTGATAGAGCAGATCCTGTTGCAACTGTTGTTGTTGTTGCTGTTGCTGCTGCTGTTGCTGCTTTGATTGCTGCAGCTGTTGGTTCGATTGTTGCTGTTGTTGTTGTTGTTGCTGTTGTTGGCCAGCAGCCTGTCCACCATGCAATTGCCCGACCATTTGTAATACTCCATTATTGTGTTGAAGCGGTGTTAATTCACCCGTTGCCCAGCGTACCGCCTCACGGTCCCTGTCGCGTTCGCCGACCATAAGTCTGCTATAAGTTCAACGAATACATATACAGATAAAGAGCTTGAGATTGAGATAGATAGAGAGAGAGTGAGATTTATAGATATTTACCGCTACATCGCGTCAATTGTCGTCATTACAGCCTCCTTTGGGTGTCGTGTTGCTGCTGCTGCTGCTGCTGTGCCACTGCTGCTGCTTGCCCCACTCTCCTTTGAGTTTAAATCCTTTTTTGGGGCAATTGATTTCTGTGGCTGTATCTGCAGATCTCTATATAAATTGCAGCTGCCCTTCTCTATCTTTATGGCGTATCTAAATATCTATCTATATATGTGTATATCCCTCAATTGCGGTCTGGCAGGGTCCTGTGTGCTGTGTCCTTTGTCTTGCTGTACTCCTTCATGTCTGTGGCTCTGTACTTTTTGCCCTCTCTTTTCCGCTCGTTGTGGTTGTTGTTCTTGTTGTTGCTATGTCTATGATCACAGTTTTGATTTCCGTTTTCTTTGTTTGTTTGTTGGTTTGTTTGTGTGGCTTGTGGTTGAGGCTCGGGATTCGGGCTCAGGCGTATTTTGGCAGCATTTTGGTGTAGAGAGAGATAGACGGAGAGGCAATAGCTATAAAGAAAGATAGATTACAGATTATATGTTTTTGAAAGCAATTGATATTCGAATTACATATATTTTTATGGCTAATAAAATTTCTATAAATTACCGATCACTATTATCTTAATAGTGGAAATCTTTCCTGAATTATTTACTGAATCAATAGTTAGATAATAGCTAGAAAATGAACTACGTGGAATGAAAGACATTTCGGGCGCTCTCGTCTTCATTCGTAGCATACTTTTTGGGGCCGCGCAATGGCGAAGCCAAAGCCAAAGGCAATTATCGCATAATTACGCAATCACACACACACATACATGCACACATTTAACTGCAGCTATACAATATCCATACATATAGATGCGTGTGTGGAAATCGAAACGTGGGTCTGGGGTTCGCTACTTTCTCTTATTTATTACCATTAATTTGCAATTGCCGAAGGCTAAGCACAAAAATTGCAGTTGCCCCCGTTTCCCGTTTGGGTTTCGTTTGTGGCATGCGTTTTGTTTTGCTATTTTTGGGGTCAATGCAAATGCCTTTCGATGTTGGCCTTTGCCTAAATCGCTGCCGCTGTAGTTGCAAATGCAAATGCAATTGCAATTGCAGTTCGTTTTTCCTGTTTTGTGTTTTTTTTTGATTCAGTTTCTGCCGCATTGCAATCAAATTTGAATTTTTACGCCCCAAAGGAAATGGCGAGTAATAAGCCGAATGGCTCTCGAGCATTTTTCTAATGGATTGCCATGTGCGTGTGTGTGGCCAGCAAAAAGTTAACTGGCATCACATGGAAGCCATAAAGCAGAGGCAGAAGCAGAGGCTCTGCATGCAATTGTGCCCCAAAACGACTTCATTTCTTATTCATTTACCCCCCTCCCCCATTCATGCACTCAATAATGAGTATTCTGATGTGGCAGTTCCTTAGTTCTACTCCTCATAGCGGAAGCAACCTCTGAAAAGTATCACTATATCGTATGAGGAAAAATATCCTGCAAAGCGAGTATGTCTCATAGCAATCGCATGGCAGATTTGTGCGCCACTTGTCACTCTGCCCTTGCACGTCGCGTGTTGCACCGACTGCCACTCAAATTATATAGTTTTGTTTGTTGCACTTTTGTCAGAATAAATTGGCTATTTATTAGCACAATTTCAAGGGGAATGCCACGTGCTTACCCCCGAGAATTTTAAATGGCAAATGTCAAGTGGGGGGGAATGGCAATGGCAAAGCGCGAGTAAATGTCACTTTTGTTGACAAGATTTCCGGCACGGCAAAAATTTTGTAAGGAATGCAAATTTTTGGAATATTTTCTATGCAGCAAAACTTTTCAAACTTTTCCCTATTGTAGCGCCAAAATAGTGTTTGAATATGCTAAAGGTGTATGCAACACTGTATGAATGTATATCAATAACGCACCTATCGATGTCGACGTTTCGTTGTGAATGGCAACTGTCATTTGACAAGAATCCTGTCACATAAATTCACATTTATTTAAATTCAGTGCCAGAGAAAGTGTTGAAACTATGCAGGAATTGCAGAAGAGCAACGATTGTCCGATGCAGGATATGCGGGATAACCACAAAGAGAATACTCCAAGCCAGGAAATGCAGGAAAAACAACAAGAGAATATTCCAAGCCAGGAAATGCAGGAAAAACAACAAGAGAATACTCCAAGCCAGGAAATGCAGGAAAAACAACGAGAAAATACTCAAACCCCAGAGATGCCGATAAACAAAGAGGACTCCCCCCTTCAGGACACAGAGGAACCTGTAAGCAATACCCATGCGATCGACAAGAAGCTCAAAAATCAGGGCATAACAAAGAAGGTTGGCATGGAGATTGCAAAGCTCAAATCCATGATACGCCGCACCTTGGTGGACTGTAAGTGACGAATCTATGCCTTGCATGAATTTATACCATTTCCTGCACTATCCCTGCAGGCGGCACCATGGCGAATTTGATGAAGCGCATGCAACCAATTCTCGAGGAGCAGCTCGCCCTCACCCATGTCATTGAATCGAAGTTTGCCTCGTACTCCAATGAGATCGAAAAATACTTGAATACGCGTGGCGGGCTGTCGGCAAAGGTGGCAGCTAATCCGCGCAATGCGGCCAAGTATCGTCGCCACATCCAGTTGTTGGACAAGAAGGCGTTCCGTCGGCAGCGTTCGATGATCTGTGAAATGCGCGTTCATTGGCGTTTGCTGCGCAAAATCATCGTCGAGCAACAACAGAAGGCAGTCGCCAGCTCCTCTGCTTAATTGTAGTCGCGTGCAGCTGAGAAAACTTAAATAAAATACATAATACATGCATGCCCCAAAAGGTAGCTGCAAATTGCACGCAAATTTGTTTTTTGCTGTTTGCGTGGCATGCAACATGTTAGCCCCCACAGGCCGCCCCACTCTCGACAATTAATTCTCGCTTTTCCTCGCCCGACGTGATGGTTGTTGCTGTGTGTATGTGTATCTGTGTGTGTGTGTGTGTGTGTGTGTGTATGTGTTGGGTGTGTGTCAAGTGGCACAACTTCACCTTGGAACCTGTTGAACATTGAGTTGAGGCCTTGAGGCAAGTCAGAATGCAATTAATTTCTCATTTTAATGAGGTGAGACCTTTTCGTTGTTCTAGCCAACAACTTGGCCAAGAGCGAAAGTGGCAAGGGAATGCAAGAGAATGGGAGAAAGAGGGACAGCGAGACAGCGAAACAGAGAGGAGGCCTTCTGGCCTTGTCATAAAAACTCTGCCAGATAATGGACGTCTAAAATTTATGACTAAACACCCACCCACCCACAACACTCACCCGCTCTGACACTCACTCGAAACACTCAATCATTCACACCCAAACACTCACTCGAGCGGATAGACAGGGGAGCATTTAGTGGTGGTGGGTGGCTGTGTGGAGAGGGGGCGGGTAAAATTACAAAATGGCAACTTAATTGCCCCTCAAAATGGTTGTCCATCGAATGGAGGACGAGGCGGGACTCTCAGGTTTCTCTAGAGAAATATTATAAAGTTCTGCCTCTCTCTCTCTGTCTCTCTGTCTCTGTGTGTTTGTAACCCCCAACTTGATGACAAAGCTGAATGTTTTACGAGCGGAAGGAGCGTAGCTGCTGCCACACATGTGTGATTAATGATTTCTTTGCTTTCTTGACGCTAATTGAAAAATGTTTAGGAGCAAACATCAAGGAAAATAATTAGAAATGATATTAAGAAAGCAGAGCAAAAGACTGCAGAAAAAAACAAAGGAAGGGGGTGGGTTCCAAACCAATATTATGAGAAATTAATTAAATTCTTTAACAAAAATCAGCAAAGAATAAAAATACATTTGACAGAAAGTGGAGAGGCAGGCAGGGTTGTATTCACGCTCGATTAATTATTGAATGAAATCGATTACTATGCTTAGAGACACAGAGAGAAGAGACCAGCTGATTCATGTAGAAAATGTATAAAAAGACGGCTTAGGATCTTCAAAGAGAATGATGCAATGATCCAAATTAGCCAAATGCTTCAGGATTCTAAACCAAAACCAAAAACAACGTCAACTTCAATCTGCAGGACTTCAAGCACTTCATTAAAGATACAAGCAAAAATTTCAACCGCATAAGAACGCTGCCCCAAGCAGCACAAGGAATAAGCACTTCACTTCACTTCACGCTACTTCTACTGCCACTTCCTTCCCCCATTCTCTCTCCACGGCACGCCACGCCACTCTCCACTTGCAGCGCCAAGATACATGCATCAAATGCCAAAATTCCACTTAAGTGCTAAAAGCGGCAAACTCCAAGCTTCTGCCATTTGCATATTGCATTGAAGGGGGAGATGTTTCCTGCACTGCCCTGCCCTGCCATGCCATGCTCTGCCCCAAAAGCCGTAGAATAGATAGACCTTCCGTCAGAGATGGAGAAAGAGGCAAGAGACAGAAGCGTGGAAGAACTAAAACAAGAGAAAAATGCAATACAAATATAGTGGCACAGAGGTGGGGCACGAAAAGCGTGTCAATGTTGTTATAGCTGTTAGGTTTTTCATTGTTGTTGCTGCCACACTTTTGCTGCATAGACGGGGTTGCAAGTGGCAAGCATTTATTGCCGACTATCCTCTCGAGTCGAGCGTCGCCATTGCCATTGTCTAAATTTATGGGCGCCATTTTTGTAGCAAGTCAAGTGCATTTATTTTTAAATGTTCCATAAGCAGCAACAAACACACTCACGACACACACACAGACACACTCAAGAGTAAAAGTGCTGCGAAGGGCGTTGTTTGAGTGCGTCAGCGGCAACCTCAACACTCAACGCGAAAGAAACCCAGCCGCCGAGGACATGTGAGTATGGTATCCTTTCGGAGCGTTTCTTTTTCCAACACCCACCCCCCCGGCAGCCCACCAAATGGACGCCATCAACATCCGGCCACAGCCACATCCGGCACATCCAGCGGCAGTGGCCTGACCTGACCCTTGCCCTGACCGCTGCCCCAATTTCGCTTACACCCAGGAGGCACAAGGGGTGTGAAAACTGAAGTTAGAACTGCAACACTTTCCATTTTGTACATTTTAAGCAAGTTTCTCTCTAATTGTGTTCAAAGGGAAACCCCTTTTGTTTGCATACCCTGGGACACACCCCTGAGAGAGGCTCTTATGGGTTTAAGTACAGACATCTTTTCCGTAGTTTCTCCAGGGTACCAGAACATTCGAGCTGTTTAATCTAAATCTAACTTTCTCCCACAATCTTTGGCTATGTTTTTTTTTTGCGTGCCAAAGCGACTTATTGGCCATTGGCATGCAAGCGCTGGCTGCTGCTGCTGCTTCTGCTGCTTCTTTCACTTCTTCTTGACCAACTTGACTTGGCCTTGGCTAACATTGGTTGTGGACGACGAGTGGGTGGCAACAATGGCTACCCTCTCAATTGTTGCACTTGGCAACGCAAAGCGTGGCGGAGAGTACCTTTGGTTGTTGGCCACTTACCGCAGGCGGCTTTCGTGTATTAACTTAATTGCTTTTATTGGGCATTACGCGCGGGTTTTTATGGCTGCCAGTTCGGGCCAGGCTGCAGGAAATGCCCTCTGCCTGATGTCATTCCTGGACACCTTTCGAGGGGGGGGCTAAAATCAATAGCCAACACACACACACACAGGTTAGGGGTGTGGGTGTGTGCCAGACACGTGTCATTAACCCTGCGTGCCATTGTCTTAGTGCCTGCGATGAGCTGTAATGTGTCAGTGAGGTCTTAGCCAGGTCTCCACCGCGCCGAGTCTCTACGTTTAAGTTTGCTGCAATTTGTGCTTCCTTCTGCAGCTCCTTCCTCAGCTCTGACTCCTTCTTCTACCCCCCTTCTACCGACTGTTCAACTGTTCAACTGCGCAGTTTGGTCAAAAACAAATGAAATATTCATAATCAAGCAACCATTTGGCCATTGGCCGTTAACGGGGTTTTCCCTGCCTGTGCCCCACTGCCCCCCCCTCCCACCAATCACTGATATTTCTCATGTGTGATATTGATTTTCGATTATGGACAGTGTCTCTTTTCCGTCTGCCAACCTGTTAGCCATACGTGCACGTTTAGCCCAGAGAGACAGAGAGTGGGTGGGAGAGTGAGTTAGTGGGTGTTGGTGGTGGTGGGGCAAGGTGTATCCAACTGAATAATGCATTGCAATCGAATCGAGTTGTATTTATAATGCCTGCGATTGGCTCTGCCTTTGGGCTTTCCAGGGGGGAAAAAAAAGAACATTTATCAAAGTTCTGGCATCATGAATGTCTCCAACTGTCCGCAGTCCGCACGGTTCCCATGATAATGATAAATGGATCCTACATACAATGCTCGTACGTGCCACGTTCTGCTGTAAGTTCAATGCTGGCCAAGTTCTTGTTTTGGTCTGGCCATTTTATTTTTAGCTACGATCGGCCCCCGGTTTTTCCGGCATGTAAGAAAAAATAAATAATGACTAGCAAATCGCTTAAAATTCCCCACTCTGGCCACACTCGCATACGCACGAAAATTTCTGCTTTGGAGATTAATTGAGCGTCCAAAAATAGTTTTGTTGGCGGAACAACCCGCTGAGGGTTCTCCCGCAGATTGGAGATTGGGTTTTTTTTTTGCTGTGGGGGCAAGGCATTCGCGTGCCTGTTCACAATTAAACCTCCAGGCGTATACTTTTGGCAGAGCACGTGCTCTGCTTTTTGACCCCAAAAAGAGTATATTCCGCCCACTCTTCAACGTCTTCGACTTTTACTTGCTTGCCAAATGCAAATCCAAATGCGAAAATTGCTCAGAATATTTTCTGAGATTTGCATTCAGAAATCATTTTAATTGCAAATTAATTGGCACTCTTCAGGGGGTGCTTCATCACAGCGGGAGGGATTCTTTCCGTTTGGGGAGGAGAATATCATCGGAGGAAAGCAACAACAAAGGGATCTTTAATTGCAATCTGGGGGATATCTCTGTGAGAAGTTGTTGATCTCATCAGAAAATACCAAAAAATATTCGAAATTAATATATATCATGACATAGTAAAATAATACTGGACTTATACCAGAAAACTACTAATATAATATCATTAATAAAATGAATACTCTGTAAAAACTCCTAGAATTATATTATTATTTTCTGGAGCTCCTTACAATAAAAGTCTTTTCTTTTCCCAGAGCATCTCTCGTTCGTTGCATTCTCTAGCAATTTTCCAAATTTCCATGCAATTTGTTCAACAAATGACGCCGTTAATATTTTTTCCTGAATTTTGCTCTTTGTCTTTTGTTTTTGTTTTCTGGCGAATCGAATGCACACAGCCACCAAAATGATTGCTGCAGAAATGTATTTGGAATGCGGCAGAATGTAAATCTTTGAACTCATAAAAATCGATGAGCGCGTGTACGCAGCAAAATCCATTGCATGTTTATCCATCGGATGCACAGATTCAAAGCAATATATTTTGTGTGATCCCTCACTCTCTCTCTCTCTCTCTATATATCTATCCAAGTGACGTCATTAAATAACGAGAGATCAGATAGGGAAATGTTTACAGCATCGGATTTGGGCTAGAGGAGAGAGAGAGAGCAAAAGAGACGCATGGCGCCTCTTTCGGTTCGAATGGAGGGCATGGTCAGTTTCTTTCACTTCTGCCTGCCTCTGGCACTCAGCCAGGAGAAGCCGCCGCATCATGGAGCAGCGTCAAATTGCCTTCAGAGATGGAGAGTGTCGAGGTTGAGGCTGAGGCTGCACAATGCCATATCCTGCCACTTAGATGCCTTCTCTACTGTTCTTGTTTCTTGCTGCCGCTGCTGCCGTCGCAATTATGCCAGGGGGAAAATATTGCTCAAGTTTCGAGGCACTGATCTGGAAAAACCAGAACAT